TTATTTCTTACCTCTTTTATTCTTTTCTTCTCTCTTAATTATCCCTTCCTCCTTTATCCCTCTCGGTACTTTCCTTTCTATATCTAACCCTTATCATAACTATCCCTAATCTTATCTACTCTACCTCTCCTCCCTTCTTCTTTTTATTCTAATTCTTATTTAATGGTCCGACGCCCCTGCTGGCCGGAGCCAAGGAAGAACGGAACCAGGAGAGCTTGGAGGAATTTCTGCACCGCATCCTCATACTGCTGCGCGGCATCGGCGGACACGACCCAGTGACCCTTGGCTGTCTGCGACCAGAATGTATGGAATAGAACCGGGGTCTTCCCCACACGAGCGATCAGCCAGTCCTTTACCGGATCTAAATGGGACGCATTTCGTGAATCAGTGAGGAATGACTGGCCCGGCGCGGTGGCATCCCAGTTGTCCACTAATAGGTCCAGATCTAGAACGGGGATCTCAGACGCAGGACTCGATCGGCCACTAAGGCATAACTCTTCTTCAAAAAGTCGCTGGGCCGTGGCGAGCCCCTTGAAGATGATGTTATACAGATCAGACAGGTGGAAGATCACCTCAGACCAGACTAGGGTCTCCCCATCTGCATGCCACCGCAGCTGTGCCGGCAGCACTTCAGTCTGCCCAATGCGGAAGCCTAATAACCGATTCTCCAATAATTCAGCCACTGGTCCGTCGGTGTCATTTAATAACCATTGGTCCCGGATGTCCACGATCATGGCACCAACATCCGCCTCTGGTTGATCTGCTGTCTCTGCCAACACCTGGGCGAGCACCACCATCTGGCAGTCGTAGATTAACTGCGACAGGATTGATGTATAATTCCCAACCATCATCCACGTACCCTGACTGGAGCTCCAGTACCGCGCAGCAGCATAGGAGACAAGGACAGAATCAAACTTGCGACGGGGAACTAAGTGTTGGATAATAGCAAGGCTAAAACTCCAGGACAGCCCGGTCCAGCTGGTCCCGGAGAGCTGCTTCGCTGGCCCCTTCTTAATCCGAGTTAATGCAGACAGCCAGCTCGCTTGCAGCCTCAGTCACCTCGACCCATGCCTCTAGCTGTCGGTTGCTGGGTTGGAACAGCATGTCCTGGAGTGGCCCTGCTCAACAACTCGCTCCCAGTAACAGATTAGCCGTTGCCAGGTATCACTGTATTTGCGGCAGGACTGTTGGTTCTGTAGGTCAGTGATTGGATCCTGCGATGCCTCCCCCCAGGTAAAGGTGTTAAGCAGCCGTGCGTTCCAGCGACTTAGGTGGCGTGCCTCTAGGTTCTGATCATAGACAAGCACCGTCATAGTATTCTCTATGACTCGCCTAGCACTCTCACAGATCAAGTATAGATTATGTTCCTCCTCAGGCTTAGGCAGTTAGTAACTGGGGCCGAGTTCGCTCAGATTTAATCCTTGGAGGTGGATGTAGATGCCTGTCCGCTTCATCCATGGGGTGAGCTCAGAGACATGTCATACGGTCTCCACCTGATCCCATTATGGTTGAGATTGACTCTGTTGGTACCGTAGCATTATCTGGTCCCATGCATTGTCTGGAATGGGGGAAGGAGAATGGTCCTGTGTGGATGGTGGTGCGTTGTCAGGTGCGTTAGCATGTGGATATATATATTGTGGTGTGCCTGACCACTAGGCTCGGTCAGCCAGAACCACAGCAAAGTACTGTTGGCTTTGCTTCTGGTTAAATAATGTCTGCAGATATGCATGGTGCCAGGGCATTGCCCCTTGACAAGAAACCTGCCATTGATGCTGCTGGTTATAGTGTTGTCGCATGTAATCCGTGCTGGTCGTGCGGAAGTCACACTGTTCGAAGTGGCAGATGCCCAAGCACGGTCGGGAGACCATGGATCTCATCAGTTCCATCAGGTGGTTGCACCACATCCCTAATAGTAGCAGCCACGTTCTCTAATTGGCTATGGGCTTCAATTTCACTCTGTTGCATTCTTTTAATCGATGCTTCTCTCGCAAATGCCGTGGGAGATTCTGGCGGGTATAGCAGCCATGCGTGGTGCAGAGAACCACTCGCCATTCCCGCACGACCTTAAGGTATGATGGGAACCCATCAATTTCCCCATCAACCACTGCTGGTGAAGGACTGAAACTTGACTGAGACATATTTATATGGCCAGATAATCAGTTGGTATTATACAAAGGAGATTTATATTGATTGTTAACCCTAAATTAATATGCTGAAGTTCAGCGGAGTTTCCCCTGAAGTTCAGCGGGCCCTAACATGTTCCTGGTTTAGCGCCGGGTATGTTTTGTTAGTAGGGTTTGAGAAGTACAGCGTACTTCAACGCATATAATGACAGTAGTAGTAGTAGTATAGACCCTAGAATATACTCCTTCTTTATATTACTATTTCTTCTTAGTATAGATAAAAGCTTATCATTACTATTATAATACCTAGTATAAATACTTATAAGGCTTATTATTCTTATATACTTTATCTATATATTATATGTAGGCCTAATACTATAAGATAAAATCTACTATAGGGATAGTAAGATAAGTATATGTCACGGTGCTGCCGTGGATAGGAGTTGGAACCGCTAATGAGGAATCACGTGACCTTGGGAATATCTTCACCGCACAATTCCGAAACCTGTTTGAAGCTCTTTGAGCTACATCCTGTCTATAGAGCCTGCCTGTACCAGCCTGCCCTGCAGCCTGAACAGATAGATAGGAATTACTATAGCCAGCCTGAGTGTCAACTACCTTATTATCCCGCCTCTGCCGGCCTGCGAGCCCGCACCTTGACATTACGTAGCTCCTCCCTTGGGGTTGACACTGTCAGAATGCCTGCCCCTCTGCCCCCATTCCTGCCCGGAGACCCCGAAGAGTTCTCTGAACATGTCGCCAGCCATGGTACTAAGTGGTATGAGTACTGCCGACTAGCATACGAATACATCCAGAAAGCCAAATCGACCATCAACGAAGCGAACCAACGAGCCAAGCAATCTGAGGCCAGATTCCTGGAACTTCAGCGTGAATTCGCCGCCCTGGGACAAAAGAACACTGAGATAAGGGCTGTCCTGCAATACCAGAAGGAACAGCTGCAAGAGAAGGAACAGCAGTATGTGAAGGCTGCTGTGGAAAGGGACCAAGCCCGTCGCTTAGCTACCCCTACTGTG